CCGGACAAGAAGAAGTGCATGCATGCATGCATGCATTCAAAACCCTACACACTAAACCCTAAACCCTGCATGCATGCAAGCATGCAGCTATCGTGCAATGTAATGCCGGCAGATAAGGCTTCTCCAGCAGACGCAGCCCCACAACGCATGCATCCATACATGCATGCACACATGCAAACCGAGCTACATGCACGCCTGCATGCGTGCATGCATGCATGCATGCATGCATGCAGAGACCCACCCAAAATCGACTCCGTTGAGTTTGTCTAAAACCCTTTCAAGGACTTCTTCTCTCGTCCTCGGCCAGCGCACTGCAATGCCTTCACCGTAGTTAGTAGCAGTACCCTGGGGGCCCCATGGGGGACCCCCAGAGGGCCCCCCTGGGGGCCCACTCCTAGGCTTACCCGCTGGGGGGGCCCCCATTGGGGGCCCCTCGATAAGTTGCGGGGCTTCGGGTAGCGACTGTCTAAGGACTTTAAGAGGGAGAGAAGGGTCAAGGATGCATGCAGAAAGAAGTAGAGACAGATAAAATTTATTTTGTCTTAGCGTTGTCAGGCAGAAGCAAAGAGACGACAAAAATATGCCCCCAGAAGCACCAACGTCTAAAGCTCGTGAAAGCATGCGCGTTTGCCTGCATGCACATACACCCCAAAAACATATATATATATATATATATATATATATATAGCCGGTACTGCATGCATGCACTGCATGCATGCAGTATGTGGCAGCAGCAGCAACAACAACAACGATAGCGATAACGTCAGCAGCAGCAGCAGCAGCAGCACCAGCAAAATAACCAGCAGCAACAATAGCAGCAAAAACAGCAGCAGTATCAGCAGCGGCAGAAACATCAGCAGCGGCAGCATCAGCAGCGGCAACGCTTGCAGCAGCAGCAGCAGCAGCACCTGAAGGGGACAGTCTCCGGCTGTGTGGTTCTGCATGCAGCAGCCTCAAAGACATCACTGAAGTCTATATGGGCGATGCAGCAGCCCCTGCAGTCGCTGCTGCTGCAGCAGCAGCACAGCAGCAGATTGCCTGGGTGTCTGTCTCCTATCCCGCAGAGATAGCCGCAGGCTGCCATTGCTGCATGCCCCGATGCAATGCTGCGCCGCTGCTGCAGCCAGGTGCTGCTGCTGCTGCTGCTGCTGCTGCGCAGCCACAGCAGCTGCCGCAAGTCATCTCCCGTCGTTCGGTCAAGGAAGGCACGAAAAGCTGCTTCCAGCTGCAGCAGCAAACAATCACAACCGCAACACGCATGCAATGCTGCTGCAGCAGCAGCCAATACAGCTGTTGCGAGTGCAGCTGCTGCTGCTGCTACAGCTGCAGCAGCAAACAAACACATGAGCAACACCTGTGAACTGTTGCTGCTTCTGCTGCTGCTTCTGCTGCTGCTTCTGCTGCTGTTTCGGCTGCTGCTTCTGCTGCTGCTACTGCTACAGCTGCTGCAATGAAGGTGACCCTTCGTTCAGCTCACCACCTCTGGGCTATCTTTAGCTGCTTTTGCTGCAGCGCGTTGAGCCGACGTGGCAGCAGGTTGAGTGCTGCTGCTGCTGCTTCTGCTGCTACTACTGCTGCTGCTACTGCTGCTGCTGGTACTGCTGCAGCTGTTGCTGGTGGTGTTGGTGGTGTGGGTGTTTTGCTGCTGCAGTAGATGCAGCTGCTGCTGCTTCTCCGCAGTGAAGAGAGACAGCTCGAGATTGATAGGGACGCGCTGCATGCGCCGGTGTCTCCCCAGCAGATCTTTTAATGTTGGTGCTGCAGCAACCCACTCAACAAGCCCAAGGGAAGGAGACAGGGGGGTCACTTCATACAAAGCAAAAGGAATGCTGCTGCAGCAATTCCTCCAGCGACGGTTGTTTCTGTTTCTGCTGTTGCTGCTGCTGCTGCTGTTGTTGTTGTTGCTGCTGCTGCTGCTGCCTAGGTTTCCCATGAACGGATGCTGCGGAGTCGCCCGTCGCTCGTGTGCTGCTGCTGCGCAGCAGCACGGTGACTGCAGCGTCTGCCGCAGCAGCAAGCATGAGACATATTTAAAGACCTGTACACGAATCGCAGCAAAGCATCACGAAGCCTCACTGCAGCAGCAGCAGCAGCAGCAGCAGCAACAGCAGTAGCAGAAGCCACACCGGATGTTTGCCATTCAGCAACAGCAGCAGCAGCAGCAGCAGCACCAGGGGCACCAGCATCAGCAGCAACCGTAGCACCACCATCCGTATTAGCAGCGGCAGCAGCAGCGGCAGGAACATCAGCATCATCCCCATTAGCAACAGCAACAACAGCAGCAACAGCAGCAGCAGCAGCAACAACAACAGCAGCAGCAGCAGCAGCAGGGTACCATGAGGATACGTTGCTGCAGCCGCAGGTCTACTTCCATGAGGATACGTTGCTGCAGCCGCAGGTCTACTTGAGTCTTAAGAGCAAAGCGGTAGCAGCGCCCGTCTTCTCCCTCTACAGCAATTACACGCGGCCTCTCTTTAGTTGGGAGCACCAACACTACTGGCAGCACCCGGTGTATGCGAATACCTTCTGCTCCTGCAGCAGCAGCAGCAGCAGCAACAGCACCAGCAGAAGAAACAGATGCAGCAGACGCAGCAGCAGTAAGCAACGTGAGCTTCCATAGACACAGCATTTTGCTTTGTTGCAGCTCGTGCTGCTGCTTCTGCTGCTGCTGCTGCTTCTGCTGTTGCTGCAGGTCGCGAGACAGCTGGTGCTGCAGCTAACCAGGTACTTCCAAGTGCTTCATATTCAGCTTCTGCAGCTGCGGAGCGCTGGTGTACAGACACCCCGTGCGGCTTTCTAGGCGCTGCTCCAGCAGCAAAGCAGAGAAGACACGGAAGTAGCAGCCCCAACTCCCGTGCAGCGCATGCGCTGCTTCCTCCCCACACCCTGCATACACACAGATGCATGCATGCAACAGCAACAGCAGCAGCAGCAGCAACATGCATCCATACATGCATGTTGCTTATGCTGCTGCTGCTGCTGTTTGTTGGAGCAGACAGCAAACCACCGGGCCGCAACTGCTGTATCATCCGGTGATCTCGCTGCTGCTGCTGCTGCTGCTGCTGTTGCTGTTGCTACTGCTGCTGCTGGGGGCTCGTTGCTGGAAATAGTTGCTGCAGTGCATGCAGTTGCTGCTGCGGTGTACAGGCAGCTCACCAAGCGCGATGAAAGACTGCAAGCCCATATACGCCTGCTGTAATACAGCCCCGTGCTGCTGCAAGAAAGCTGCATCCGCCGGACACTGCAGCAGCAAAACGCATGCAGCAGCAAAACGCATGCAGCAGCAGGTGCTGCAGATCAGCAACGAAAGCACCAGCAGCACCAACAAACAGCAGCGCGAATGCAACACCGGCAGCTGCTGCAACAACAAGAAAAAACAGACACGGATGCAGCAGGAGCAGCAGCAGCTCCAGGCACATCAACAGCAGCAGCAGCAGCAGCAGCAGCACCTTTGGTCCCTTGAGTGTGTCTTCATGCAACGGGAGCAGCAAGCGGACTGCTGCAGCAGGCTGCTTCAGGTCGAAGGCGAGATGGCTTGCTGTGTCAAGTGCAGCAAACCACCTTTCTCCTAGGTGTACAGACACCTGCTGCAGCTGCTGCTGCAGAAGATGGGCCTCTTTCAGCAGATCCCCGTGGGTTGCTGCTGTTGCTGCTGCTGCTGCTGCTGCTGCACGCACTAAACGAGGACTCCCTGTACACTCCATGCTCGTCACCAGCGGCAGCACCGTCGCCTGGGGCGCTGAAAGAGCTGCAGCAACAACAAGCCAAGCAGCAGCAGCAGCAGCAGCAAGAGCAGCCCAATAAAAGAATGCAGAGATGCATGCATGCAAGTGGAGCACACCGGCTGCTGCAGCATACCGAATTGAATGAGGATTTGGGTGTACAGGCGCTCCTGCTGCTCCGTCTCCGCTGCTGCTGCCTTAGCAAGCAGCTGCTGCAGCAAAGGCTGCTGCAGCCGCAGCAAAGAAGGCATCTCTGAGGAGACGAGTTGCGCGACTGTGGGGTCCGCTGAGGTTGCCTGCAGCAGCAGCAGCAGCAACAGGAGCAACAGGGTAGCAAGCAGATCCAGCCTTCTTACGGGGGATGGAGATATACTGGAGCAGCGTGAGCAAGAGCAAAAACAACAAAAGCAGCAACAGCAGCAGCTGCTGTTGCTGCTGCTGCTGCTGCGTTTCGAACTGGCTCGTACATACCAGTCCTATTGCATGCAGAAGCGCCAAAGCAAGCTCTATGCCTGCTGCTGTGTTTGCTGCTGCAGTTGTTACAGATAGATGGGCAGCACGCAGCAACGACTTCAGGGCCTCCAGCACTAGCTGCTGCACCGCAGCAGCAGAAAGATGCACTCGTTGGTTCTGTCCCCTCTTGCTTCCTGATTGCTGCTGCTGCTGCTGCTGCTGTTGCTGCTGCTGCTTCCAGCACTGCAAGGCAGCAGGTAACTGCGGCATTTCCTCTAGGAGAAGCGCTGAAGGCCCACGAGCTTCTGCATGCGCTGGTGTTGCTGCTGCTGTTCCTGCTGCTCCCGACTGTATCTCCGCCCCCTGCATCCCCTCCTCTTGCTGCGGCTGCTGCTGTTGCTGCTGCTGCGATGAGTAAGGCTTTACTGGAGCCACCACTCGTAAGACAGACATCCCCCAGGCAAAGCAGCAAGCTGCAGCAGCAGCAGCAGCAGCCGGGCAGTCTGCTGCTGCAGCGGCGCGAAGCGCTGGAGGTGCAGCTTCCGCTGCTGCTGCATACAGCAGCAGCGAGTTTGCAGCAGCAGCAGAGATGCTGCTGCTGCTGTCTCTACAGGCGGCATCAAGAGGTATATTCTGCCATTCGTCGGTCCAGTTGGCTGCAGCAGCAGTAGCAAAAGTAACAAAAGCAGCAGCAGCAGCAGCAGCAAGTGGTGCTCCTTTAAGCGGCCTTCATAAACTCTAGAAGAACAGCTGCAGCTGCTGCAGCTGCTGCAGCAGACGAACCAGACGAACCTAAATCATAATCCCTAAACCCTAAACCCTAAACCACTAAACCACACAACAGCATACCTAACGCAAGTCGGCAGTAGCAGTGCAGCGCAGCAGCAGCAGCGGCTTGCAGCGTTTCTTCGTGTTGGGGTGCTCGGCATGTTACTGCTGCTGCTGCTGCTGCTGTTGCTGTTGCTACTGCTCCTGGTAGCCCTGTTGCAGCGCATGCAGGTCCAGTCGCTATGCATGCACGGAGCAGCAGCAGGAGCTCCTGCTGCTGCTGCGGTTGGTGCTGCGGCATCTGCAGCAGCTCCTGTAGAGGGCGCGGCAGCAATGGAAGGTGCAGCCTCCCAAGAATAAAGCTGCTGCTGCTGTTGCTGCTGCTGCTGCTGCACGAGGAGTCTGCTGCGAGCGACAGCAGATGCAAGGCTTCCTGCTGCTGTCCGAAGCGGCGCAGCTCCCGTGCAGCCAGCAGAAGGCACCACGGATCCCACTGCTGCTCCTGCTGTTGTTGTTGTTGCTGCTGCTGCTGCTGTCGCTGCTGCTGCTGCTGGTAGTGCAGCAGTGGCAGCAACAAGTGCAACGTCGACCCGCTGAAAGTTTCTGTGCTGCTGAAGCTTGCTGCTGCTGCTATGCAGCGCAGCAGCGCATACACTTCAGTAGACGGCAGCAGCAAACTCCCTGCCTGCGCACACCCAAACCCTAAACCCTAAGAGCTAGACCATAAGCCCTAAACCCCAAACCCTAAACCCTGGAATGTGAGTATTCACACCCTCAACCCCAACCATAAACATTACGCAACCAGCCCCGCACTCTAAACCCTAAACCCTAAACCCTAAACCCTAAACCCTTGTTTAATCGTACTGCTGCAACTTTGCGCAGCGCCCCAGGAAGCAGCAACGCATCGTGAGGCAGGTTCTGCAGAGCGGCATAGAAGCTGTTGCTGCTGTTGTTGTTTGCTTCTGCTGCTTCTGTTGCTGCTGCTGTTGCTGCACCTTGCCCATCTGCAACAGCCATTGCTGCTGCAGCGCGCTTTAACGCCTCTACCTGCAGCAGCTGAAGTGCTGGCAGCAATCGGCTGCTTCTGTTTCTCCCTGCAGCGCCCGTAGCTCCCGTTGTTGCCCCAGCATCAAGGGCAGCCTTCGCTGCTGCTGTTGCTGCTGCTGCTGCTGCAGTGGCGTGCCAGCCGGAAGGCCCCGCTGCAGTGTAGAAGTATCTTGCGTAAGGCTGTACATACACCAGAAAGATCCACGCAGCAACACAGTCAACATATGGCTTTTTTCTGCTCGTGCTGCTTTTGCAGCAGCAGCAGCTGGGGATGGGTTGGATTGCTGTCACTGCTGCTGCTGCTGCCGCCGCCGCTGCCGCTGCTGCTGCTGCTGCTGCTGCTGCTGCTTGATAGCAGCAGCAGGACCCAAATGCAATCTTACCTCCCCTAGCCGTTTGCTGTAGAGCTGCAGTGCTGCGTAGTCTCTGCAGTTAAATGCAGCAGCAGCGGCTGCTGCTGTCAAGGCCTCTGAAGCGTCTGCTGCCGCAAGGTGCTGCTGTTGCTGCGGCGCTGCCGCTACGGAGAGGGCATCGCTCCACAGACCCATCCAATACAGAGCTCTGCAGCAGGAGCAGCAGCAGAAGCAGCAGGAAACACTAGAGGAGCGTAGCCCGCGAGCGCCATGCCAAGAACAACAGGAGCAGCAACAGCAGCAACAGCAACAGCAGCAGCAGCAACAGCAGCAACAGCACCAGCGGCATTCTCACTGCAGGCTCGCGCGTCCAAAGGAACCGCTGCCGCTGTTGTGTCTTGAAAAGGGTGCTGCTGAATTTCCCGCTGTTGCTGCTGCTACTGCTGCTTCTGGTGCTTCTGGTGCTGCTGCTGCACGTTCTGGTGCTGCTGCTGCTGCTGCACGTTCTACCGGCGCTCCGGCGGTTGGGTGTTTCTCCTTGGATGAAAAATCGGCTGGCAGCAGCTGCAGCTGCTGAAGCGCCTTGCGAAGTGCGGGAGCAGCAGAAGCAGCAGCAGCTGCTGCTGCTGCCTCGCGCATGGGGTGAGAGAAATCATAGACAGCAAAGCAGCGCCACATTGGTTGCGTTGCTTCCACGTCCACTTCTGCTGCTGCAGCAGCAGCACCTTGCGCTGCTACTGCTGCTGCCGCTCCTGCTGCTGCTGCTGCTGCGAAGTTGCTGCTGCTCGCGGGAGGCTGACTAGTGTCTACTACAGCAGCAAAAGTCACATCTTTTGCTAGCCTCTCTAGCTGACGAAACTGCTGCTCAAGCAGCACGTGCTTCGCTTGCTGCAGCAGCGCAGCAGCAGACGCAAATTGCCCTCCCCGCAGCAGCGCTAGCAGCAGCAACACGGCAGCCGTACGTGCTGCAGCACACCCACCGCAGCAACGCCAACAGCACACCAAGGCCATGCTGCTGCAGCAACAACAGCGGCAGACAGATGCGAAAACGCCGCAGCAGCACCAACATGCCAAGTAGCAGCAGCAGCAACACGCGGAGTAGAATCAGCAACAGCAGCAGCAAACGCAGCAGCAGCACAAACAGCAGCAAAAGCAGCAGGGAAAGCAGAAGAAACGCCAAGCAGCAGCAGCAACAACAGAAACACGAGAAGCAGCAGCAGCAGCAGCAGCAAAAAGCGAAGCTGCAGCAGTAGCAGCAGCAGCAGGACGGACACGGTTCTTGCAGCCAGAAGGCCTCGTACAGCCAAATAGACAACGGGTTGTCTCTACATCTTTCTGCTGCCCTCCCCAGCAAGTAAAGAGACACCTGTAGGGGGGTCTGGTGCAGCAGCAGCTGCCGCTGCTGCATGTACACCCCAAGCGACACCGCACGCCGGCAAACGCTCAGTGGAGACTCCTGCAAGCAACGCGCAAACCCGTTGCTGCAGCGGCAGCAGCAGCAGCGACAGCAGCAGCAACAGCAGCAGCAGCAGCAGCAGTAGCACAGGAAATCCAAGGAAGACAACGCCTTTACAGCACAATCGCTGCCGCACATCGACCTGGTGACTTGCTGCTTTTGCTGCTAGTGCTGCTGCTGCTGTTGTTGTTGCTGCTGCTGCTTTTTGTACTTACTTTATAACTGCCAGGGCCTCCAGATGCTGCTCCGCATTCAAGGAAAAGCAGTCAGCGCAAAACGCGATAGCAAACAACTTGTCTGCGACTGCAGCAGCAGCTGCTGCTGCTTCTGCTGCTGCTTCTGTCTCCTCCTTGGGAGCACCCAACGCTGTTGCAGCGTCAGCTTCAGCTCCAGCAGCAGCAGCAGCCTTTGCCAGCGGCGCAACAGCAGCGACACAGGCCAAGTTGCTGCGGTGTATGTACAGTCCGCGCAGCCGCTGCCACCACGACTCCCAACAAGCCACACGGCCGCTGCAGCAGCAGCAGCAGAACAGCAGCAGCAGCACAGCAGCAGCAGCAGCAGAGCAGCAGAGATGAATAACAACCGAGACACCGTGCAGTATCGGCTTCAGGCGCGTTGCACCCCCGCAAGATGTTCAGCAGCAGCAGCAGCAACAACAGCAGCAGCAATGGCGAGCGACAGCACCAGCACCGGCAGCATTTGCAGCAGCAGCAGCAGCAGCAGCAGCAGCAGCGGCGTACCCTTGTGCAGAGTCCCAGAGCTTCAGCCGCATCCCCCTTGTGTCTCTTGGTGCAGCAGGCGCTGACCGCAGCTGCCGCCTTTGCGAGTGTCGCCACGCTGCTGCTGCTGCTGCTGCTGCTGCTCCTACTGCTGCTGCTGCTGCTGCACCAGCTGCACCTGCTGCAGCCGCACTAGATGCCAGTGTCGCTGTGCTGCCTGCAGCAGCACAGAGACGCCCAAAGCAAAAGCAGCACAGATCTTAATGCGGCTGCTGGCGATGCTGCTGCTGCTTTCGCTGCTGCTGCTGCTGCTGCTTACTAGAATGCGCAAAGGAAGAAAAGACATCTCCTAGAGACTGACGCCCCACCCGAATTCCGCTGCCAACTCTGCTGCACTGCAAACCGCCTGTACGGCGGCTGGGTAGCTCGGGCTGCTGCTGCTGCGACTGCTGCTGCAGTTGATGCTGATGTTGCTGTTGTGGCTGCTGCTGCTGCTGCAGCACCTGCTGCGCGCTACTGAGGGCGCTGCATACCGACTGCGGTATTGTCGCCTCATATACCTGCTGCTGCGGTTTGTGGAACTGTCTCCAGGAGTTGTGCTGCTGCTGCTGCCCTTGCTGCTGCTGTGCCGCTGCGCATGCAGCTGCCACAACAGCAGCAGCTCGCTGCTTTGCCGGCCCCGCAGGACACTGTTTTGCGACGACAGGTATTGTGCGCAGCAGCTCCAGCACACCGCTGCAGCAGCAGCTGCTGCTGCTGCTCCAGCTGCTGCTGCTGTCAACACGGGTGCAGTGCAACAGCACCAGCAGCAGCGGCAGCAAGTCACTTTGCATGCGCTGGTTGCAGCAGCACCGCATAAGAGATACAGTGTGTTCACATAAAGCACAGAAGCCAGCAATCATTGATCTCCTGCTGCAGGAGAAGCAGCAGCAGCCCCTGCTGCTGCGGCAGCTACCTCTGCTGCTGCGGCAGTGCTCCTGGTTGTTGAGCATGTCGTGCGCCTTCTGATGCAGCAGCAGCAAACGAACTACACGCGGCAGCAAAGCACTTGGAGCTGCATGCAGCTGCAACTGCTGCAGCAGGTCCAGCAGCAAGAATACTTCCTGCTGCGCCGCAGTTGGCAGCAGCACCAAGCTTTCTTGCTGCCGCTCTTGGCTGCTGCCTAGGCCGACACCGGTGCTATATGACGCAAGGACTGCTGCTGCTGCTGCTGCACCTGCTGCTGCAGCAGCAGGCCGAGCTTGGATGCCTCTGTCGCTCTCCTTTTTGGTTGTTCCTGCTGCCGGTAAGGCAGCAGCAGCTGCAGCAGAAGCAGCAGCAACAGCAGAAGCAGCAGCAGCTGCTGAGAGTTCCGCCGTACGGTCGCATCGCGGGAGCGTCCCGCTGCTGCTACTGCTGCAGCAGCTGCTGAGGCTGCTGCTGCTGAGGCTTAGTTGTGCATCGGGCAGCAGCTGCAGCAGCGGCTGCTTCGGGTACCGCAGTTTTGGCTGCGCTGGAGTGGCTGCTGGGGCATCCCAATCCTGAGGCTGTCTTGTGTGTTGCTCCTGCTGCTGCTGCTGCTGCTGCTGTTGCGGTTGCTGCTGCTGGTGCTGCAAGGTGCTGCTGATCTCCGCAGTTGCTGCATCAAGCAGCAGCAGCAGCACTTCGCAAAGCCGCGCAGCCCCCACGTGCTGCTGCTGCTGCTGCTGCTGCTCATACTGCACCTCCCAAAGCAGCACATCCAGAAGCTGCAGCAGCTGCAGCCGCTGTGCATGCATGCTACGCCGCTGCTGTAGCAGCAATTCTTCTAAGAGTGCCGCCAGAGGCCCGAAGGAAGCAAGCAGCAGCAGCAAGCTGCAGCGGGGTTGGTGCATGCAGCAAAGACACCACAACCATGCTACAGCAGCATCAGCTGCAGCGCCCACCTCTCTCGCACTCCTCCTGCTGCTGCTTTTGCTGCTGATGCTGGCCCAGCTCTTGGCAGCAATCTCCGCGCAGCTTGCCGGCAGCCACTCCGCTGCAGCAACGTACAGACAGAGCGATGCATGCAAGTAACAGCAACAAGACAAAGAAGGCTCCGTCCAACAGCAGCAGCAAAGGCAGCAGCAGCAAAGGCAGCAGCAGCAAGGGCAGCAGCAGCAAAAGCAGCAGTCGCAACTAGAGCAGCACCAACTACAGCAGCAGCGAGTAGAGCAGCAGCAACAGCAAGAACCGCTGCAGCAGCACATTCACGATCAGCAGCATCGGCTGCAGCAAAAACTGCAGCAGCAACAGCAGCAAGACTAGCAGCAACAGCAGCAACAGCAGCAGCAGCCTACACTCTGAAGCTTCTTTCAGTTGGGCTGCCAGCTGAGTCAGACAGGCGAACTCCTCGGTGGTGGCTGCACCTCACACAACACAAGTGCTGTTGCTGCTGCTGTTGCTGCTGTTGCAGTATGCATCCCACTGAGTCATGCTGCTGCTGCTGCTGCTTCTGCTGGAGGCTCTAGCACTGACCTGCAGGGGGAGTGACGGACAAGGGAAAGGATCCCGATAGAGTTTGCTGCAGCAGCAGCAGCTGCTGCTGTGCTCCTGTTGCTGCTTCGCTTGCCGTAGAATCAATCGCTATTGCAGCTAAGCATTCGTCTAGAGGCTTAACAATAGCAGCAGCTGCTGCTGCTGCTGCTGAGGACGAGGTGTCTCTCCAAAGGCGAAGCAGCACCACAACGGCAGCTGCTGCAGCGCCTTTAAGGTCGCGTCCCCCTACGGCCTGAGCAGCAGGCTGCAGCACGTTGAGCAGCAGGGAGCCCAATTGCTGCTCCTGTTGCTGCTGCGGGTGCTGCTGTTGCAGCTCCGATTGCTGCTGTTGTTGATTCTGCTGCTGCTGTATCCAAATACAAATACCTGGAAGCACTCCCCAGAAAACTGCAATGGAGCCCGAAGTGCGCCAGCGTTGCTGCAGCAGCCGCAGCCCTTGCTTCTGATGCTTCTTAAGCTGCAGCAGCTGCAGCAGCTGCTGCTCCTGCTGCTGCAGCACGCACGCGCTGCTGCACGAGCAGCTGCTGCCTGTGGTTTCGACAGCAGATGGAGCAATGCCAAAACAGCTGCCTTCCGTTACCTCCTTTGCTGCTGCTTCTGCTGCAGCTGCCTTTGTTGCTGCTGCATCTGTTGCTGCATGTGTGGGTGTAGCAACGTCAGCAGCGGGACTTGCAGCAGCAGCAGCTGTTGCTGCTATGGTGTCGCTCCAGCAGGGAGATGCATAGTGCTGCAGCAGCAGCTGTGTTATTTTGCTGCAGGTAGAATATGCTGCCTGTACTGCTGCTGCTGCCCGCTGCCCGTGTCTTGCTGCTGCCAGCAGCAACCGCAGCTGCAGCACATGCTGCGCTGCAGCACAAGGGCATGCAGCAGCCTGCAGTAAAGCAAGAGCCAACTGTGTGCTGCTGTGCAGATACCTAGGAGCAGCAGACAGCCCGAAACACCCCGGAAGCCTGCAGCAGCAGCAGCCACAGCAGCAGCAACAGCAGCAAAAGCAGCAGCACCACCAACAGCAGCTCGACTGAGATCTGCAGAATCGTCCCAATGGAGGCATTGGCTCTTTGATTCCAAACCCTAAACCCTAAACCCTAAACCCTAGATGATAAACCCTAAAGCTAAACACTATACCCTAAAACCTAGCCAGCCGCCAGCTGTTACCTGGTGATGGCTGCTGCAGCAAAGCGCTGCAGCAGAGGCTCCCCGTCAGCAAGGAGAGACTCTGTTGCGCTGCAGATATTGTCCGTTGCTGCAGGCTCTGCTGCTGCTGTATGCGGCTGCCGCGCCATTGCCGCTGCTGCTGCCGCTGCTGTTTCCGCTGCTGCAAGCCTCACATAGCTGCATGCGTCTGCTGCAGCAGCAACAGCAGCAACTCCTGTGCACTGCAGCAGCTCTTTGAGAAGCCGTTCATTATGAGAAGGTGCAGCAGCAGCGCATGCACCCAGCAGCAAAGACGCCGCGCGAGCAGCAGCACGCCTCACCAAAGGAGCCCGAAACTGCAGCAACTGCAGCAGCACATCAACTACTAAAGAAAATATATCCTCGCCCTGACGCTGCAGTGGTTGTTGCTGCTGCTGCTTCACCGTCGGTTGCTGCTCCTGCAGCGGCAACCGTTGCTGCTGCAGTAGCGTATGCTGCTGCTGCACCATTAGTTGCTGCTGCTGTTGAGGCTCCTTGCTATAGAGACAAGCTTGACCGACAGCAGCAATGGTGTCTACTACTGTTGCTGCTGCTGCTGCCGTGGTGCATTGAGGCAGCAGCAGCAGTAGTTGCTGCAGCAGCAAATGCTGGACCCGTCTTCCTTGCAGTCCTTGCAGCAGCAGCTGCTGCAGCGGCATCCCCCGCAGCAGCAGCAAGGGCTCACTTTGGAGCACGTAACCCAAGCTGGGAGGCAGCAGCAGCTCAGCTTCCTGATGCGGCTGCTGCTGCTCATGCGATTGTTGCAGCATCAGCAACACGCAGTGCAGCGTTATGGCGCAGCCCGACAGACAAAAAGGATTACTGCTGCTTCTGCTGCAGCCGCAGCGAATGCAAGGAGAGGGTGCTGCTCTCGCACATTGCTGCTGCTTCTGCTGCTCCTGCTGCTGCTGCTGCTGCTGCACGCGATGTTGCAACTGGTGCAGCACCTGGCGCCGCAGATCAGCAGCAAGAGGAGGAGGTAGCGAATGAGAAGACAGGAGGAGACAGCCAGTAAATAGGGCAGCTTCGCGCGCTGCCGACGTTCCCCGCTGTTGTTGCTGCTGTTGCTGTTGCTGTTGCTGTTGTTGCTGCTGCTGTTGTTGTTGTTTCTGCTGCTGCTGTTGCTGCTGCTGTGGCTTCTCCGGCAAACTCCCCTGCTGCTGCATCTGCGGCTCCTGCTGGTGCAGCAGCGGTAGCAGCAACTCCTGGACACCTGCAGCAGCCCAACTACCTACAGAGAAGGCAGTGCTACCGGCTGCTGCTGTTGCTGTTGCTGCTGTTGATGCTGCTGCGGTGAGAAGCCGCAGGGCAGCCAGCACGACGCGCAGCTGCAAGCCGAATGCAGTCTCTCGCTGTTCTTGTTGTCCTTGCTGCTGCTCCTGCTTTTGTTGCTGCTGCTGTTGCTGCTGCAAAGCAGCGGCCTCTTGCAGTGCCCGCCGCAGCAACGTATTATGCGCGAAAACTTTCTCCTGAGTGCAGCAGCAGCAGCAGCAATAGCAGTAACAGCAGTAGCAGTAGCAGCAGTAGCAGTAGCAGCAGTAGCAGCAGCAGCAGCAGCAGTAGCAGCAGCAGCAGTAGCAGCAGCAGCCTCGAAGCAACGGTGTACAAGGCAAGCTCCTGCTGCAGCACCGAACGAACAGCGATGAGTGTTCATCAACACCTGCAGCAGCAGACTGCAGCAGCAAACAGCGGCAACACTAACAGCAGCAGCAACACGAAGCCGACCCGAAGCTCCTCTGGCCCCCTACGAAGAGCAGCTTCTGCAAGGATAAGTGCTGCTTCCTGCTGCAGCAGCTGCCTGTGTACTGCTGCTGCTGCTGTTGCTGCTGTTGTCGTTGCTGCCGCTAGTGCACTCGCAGCAAAGGGAGGCGGGCAGAGAGGCATGACGAGAGAAGCTATAGCCTCCCACAGGTTGCCGTGCTGATGCTGCTGCTGCTGCTGCTGCCGTTGCCAGCAACGAACTGCTGCTGCTGCTGCTGCTTCTTTTGTCAAGACGGAGGCAGTGGGGGAGAGGAGCTCCATCTGAGCAGCAGCAAGAACAACAGCAGCAGCAGTGCGGTGCTGTGTCTTCATCATATCATATTACTGGCCTGCCTGCTGCTGCTGCTTTTGTAGCAGCAGCAGCAACAGCAGGAGCTCGTGTCGCTGCTGCTGCGCAGCAGCAAGATACAGCCGTTGCTGCTACAAGACGAACCAACGCAGCTAAAGGGGGGAGACCAACCTGCAAGGCTTCTTGCTGCTGTTGCTGCTGTCGTTGTTGCTGCTGTCCTTGGGGTAGCCGCTGCAGCAGCAGAATGCCCAAAGGTCCCTCACGTGCAGCAGCAGCCTCCGGCGCATCAATGCTGCTGCAGCCTGAGGAGACAAAGCACACATAAGACCTGTCTCTGCAGCAATTCAAGCGAGCAGCTAGTTGGACAGCTAGCTAGCTAAACAGCTAACTGAACAGCTAGCTAGGCAGCTATATAACAGATAGCTAGGCAGCTAGCTAGCCAGCTAGCTAGGCAGCTACATCACAGCTAGCTAAGCAACTAGCTAGCCAGCTAGCTACACTGCTAGCTACACCGCCAACTGACCAGCTAGCTGCTTAGCTAGCTGCTCTACTTGCCTGTTGCTGCTGCTGCAGCAGCGAGTGTCTCTGCTGCTGCCTCCAGCAGGTGCATGTCGGCGCAGCTCAAGGAGACAGCAGCACAGCAGCAATTCTCCCCCTCCTCTACCTCAGACGATGCAGGTTCTGCTGTGCTGCTGCTGCTGCTGCTGTTCAACTGGTTGCTGCTGTCTTCAGCCCCGTAGCCGTTGCTGCTGCTGCGCTTGCTGCTGCCCCTTAGAAGGGCAGACGCTTCTGCTGCAGCGAAGGCGGATTGCTTCTGCTGCTGCTGCTGCTGTTGCTGCTGCTGCTGCTGTGGCAGCGGAGGCCCTTGCTGCTGCGCTGCACTCTTGCTGCAAAGCGATGAGGGGAGTAGCTGCAGCAGAGGCCCAGCCACAAGGGGACCTGCTGCTTCTACAGCAGCAGCAGCAGCAGCAAGAAGCACCTGAGTCGCAGCAATCCTGAACCATCCACAGCAAAGCAAACAGCAGCTGCTGCAGCGGCAGCAACAGCACCTGAAACAGCAGCAGAAGTAGCTGCTGCAGGGCTCCATACCCTAAACCCTAATCTCTCAGCCCTAAACCCTAAACCCTAAACCCTAAGCCCTAGACCCTACTTGTTGTCATATGCGCCACGCCGATGTTTGCTGCAGTTTAGAATGGCTTCTGCTGCTGCTGCGCATACCTCCAGCAGCAATGCTGCTGCTGCTGCACCTGTAGGTAGCAGCTGTTGCTGCTGCTGCTGCTGCAGTAGCTCAGCTGCTGTTGCTGCAGCCTCATAACATTTGTAGGCACAGCTGTTGCGCAGGCGGCGAAGGTGGCCCTTGGGAAGCAGCAGCAAATCACTCCCGCTGCTGCTGCTGCTGCTGCTGCTGCAGAGTACACTTGCTGCTGCTGCTGCCGCAGCAAAGCTGCCGCCAGGCCCCAGACAATCACCCCCACAAACACAGCGCCCCCTCTCTCTCATCTTTGCTGCTGCTACTGCTACAGAGTCACAGCAGAGTTTGCTGTGGCTTGAAACGTTGCAGCAGCGGCTGTTGCTGCAGCAGCTGCTGCTGCACCAAACTGCTGCAGCACATGAGCAACCAGGAGCGGTTATGGGGGTGCTGGTGTGAGTTCCTTCTGCTGCTGCTGCTAGAGAACTCGCTGCATCCTTTGCTGCTGCTGCTGCCGCCACGGGTGCCGTGGCTGCTACTGCTGCTTCCCCTGGACTGCTGCTGCAGCTATTGCGCTTGCTGCTGCTGCCGGCCCCGCTTTGGTGACTGCTGATGTCTTCTGCTGTTGAAGCTGCCGCAATTGTTGCTGCTGTAGCTTCTGTTGACGCTGTTGCAGATGCTGGTGTTGCTGCTGGAGCAGTTGCTGTTGCTCCTGCTGCAGCAGTACTGCAGCAGCTGCTGTGGCTGCTGCTGTTGCTGCTGCTGCACAGCTAGGTGACTTCCTGCCTACTACTGGGGCAGCAAGTGGGCTTAATGATGCAACAGCAGGTGCTGCTGCTGTTTTAAAGCCGATGTGTGCTTTTGCGACGTTGCTAGAAGCAGCAGCAGCAGCAACGGACGACAGCAGCAGCAGCAGAAGCAGCAGCGACAAAAACACCCTCTTAATAGCGTTGTTGGGTTTGTCTTCTTGAGAAACCCCTGGGCTTGTTTCTTTATTGAAGGTTTCTTTATTTAATTACCTTTAAATTGGGTATTTGACTGCTTGCTGCTGCAGCAGAGACTCAAGCAGCAGCAGCAGCTGCTGCTGCTGCTGCTGCTGCAGTTGTTGCTGCTGTTGCTGCCGCCACAGCAGCAAATCGCAACTTAAATCTTAATTATATTTGCATACTTATCACAAATAAATTCTTGGTTTTTCCACAGCTGCAGGATTAGGCATGCACACAGCTAGCGGTTGCTGGAACAGAAGCTGGAGTAGCTGCTGCTGCTGCTGCTGCTGCTGCTGCTAGACCTTCAACAGCAGCAGCAGGGGTTTTTCTTTGCTGCTGGGTGGTGGTGCGGGTTGTCTGTTTGTCTGTTATTGTTAGGAAGTGCAGAATATATTTTAATAAACAATTTATTTAGTTTTAAATTTATTTTCTAGGGTTTAGGGTTTATTAGGGGCTTCGATGTCGAAGTATATGCGTTGCAGCCTGCAGTATTTTATGGGGCTGGGCTGGTGTGGGGGGGCTGCTGCTGCTGCTGCTGCGCTGCGAGCAGGAGCAGCAGCAGCAGCAGCAGCGGGGCATGGATTTGTGTTGTTGCAGGAAGGGTTTCTGCGAGGAGTTTGTTGAGGTGTATTTGTTTGCTGCATTCGGTTGTACGTACACCAGCGAAGGCATTAGCGTAGGCCTGCCTTGACCGTAGTACAGCAGCAGCAGCCACAGCAGCCGCAGCAGCAGCAGCATTAGGTGGAGTATAATATCTTGAAGATGGCATCTAAGAAGGGCGAGGGTGTTTCTGGTGATTCTTCTGGGTCTGGCTCTGGAGCAGCAGGAGGAAGCGGTGGTGCTGCTGCTGCTGCAGCACCTGCTGCTGCTGCTGCTGGCGTTGGAGTTGCGGGGCTGGGGGGCCATACCCGTGAAGATGAGTTAGTCTTTGGGGTTGCACATATCTATGCAAGCTTTAATGATACTTTTATTCACGTAACAGATCTATCGGGCAGAGAAACCCTAGTAAGGGTGACAGGGGGCATGAAGGTAAAGGCTGACAGAGACGAGTCTTCTCCTTATGCTGCAATGATGGCTGCTGCTGATGTAGCAGCACGCTGCAAGGAGTTGGGTATTACTGCTGTTCACGTCAGAGTGAGAGCAACAGGAGGAACCAAGAGCAAGACGCCAGGACCCGGCGCTCAGTCCGCACTCAGGTAAACACATCTGCTGCTGCTGCTGCTGTTCTTGTTGTTGTTGCTGCTGCTGTTGTCGGTCTTGTGGTTGCTGCTGCTGTTGTCAGTGTGGTTGCTGTTGCTGATGTTGTCGGTGTCGTGCTGTTGCTGCTGCTGCTATCTTTTCTGCTGCCGCCATCCCTGCTGCGTCTATTGCGTCTATTGCTTCTCGTCCCTCCTGCTGCTACTGCTTCTATTGCTGCTTCTGCTTCTATTGCTGCTGCTGCTGCTGCAGGGCTTTGGCTCGTTCGGGCTTGCGCATCGGCCGCATTGAAGATGTCACCCCAATCCCCACCGACAGCACCCGCAGAAAGTCAGGAAGAAGAGGGCGCAGGCTGTGAGCTGCTGCAGCAGCAGCAGCGGCTGCAGCAGCAGATGCTGCAGCACCCCTGCTGCAACAGCTACAACCCTCAAACCTCTCGTCGCAGCAGCAGCAGCAGCTTCTCTGCGTCGCCTGCTGCTCTTTTTACACCGCAGCAAG